AAGCATAAGGTTCACAGGTTGCATATGCAGTACAATGCATGTACATGCATGTGCAGATACATGAAGCAGGTTTGTTCACGTGTCTTTATTGCCTGAAACAAGCAGAAATATTAGCCCACCACCACCCTCCAGAAATCTCCAATTTATACTTATCTCTCAAATGCTTAGCAGTTATCTTGTGAAATTTGCATAAGGTAACTCTGGATGTACTCAAATGATCTCCCTTTGAACGACGTAAGTACAACGTTCATTGGAATAAAGCTAATGTAAATGCAAAGAGTCGGTGACGAGATGGCGAGAGTTCATCTTGAAAAAACACCCAAAGTACTGTTCAAAGACTACAAAATTTCCCTGACATTAAGCCCTTCTAAACAAGCACGATATTAAGATCTTCAAAACAAGCTCGAATTCGTTAAATGTTACAAAGATTTAGTGTTAATGCATTTCAGATTTTACAAATGCACGTAGTATATTGCCAGGAAAGGTAAACAAAATAAATTTCATAATATACTTTACCTTACACTTAGTCAGAAATGTTATTTTCAGAAATAAATGGCATCAAAATCGACTGAATAATAAAATGGAAGTTTATGTCTATTGTGAATTTTTGAGGCCAATTGAATTCTCTCTCTTTCTCTCTCTCTCTCTCTCTCTCTCTCTCTCTGATTTCATACTTGAAATTTTGCTTTGCACCAAAGGAATTAAAGTATAAATACACACAATTGAAAATCAATTGCCCTTGAATGAACATAAGAAATATCAAGTAATCTTCATTGGTATGTTGAACAAGTATTTTGCAGCAGTGGTGTCTTGGGATTTGAAGATTTTTATTTGGCTTTGGTTTGTGTCTGATGTGGTTAAAATAATATGTGGATTTCACAATTATTTAGGCCTCAAAATTATTTACGCATGAGCTTTTTGTCAAGATTACGAATTTCACGCAGTCTGATACATCGTAATAAATTTCATAAATTTTATTATTAAAAAAGTAATCGGGGGTTCTTTATTGATTTTGTAACGGCAATGCGAAGTAATGTATGTAAGATGAATGTAAAAATGCAATTTTATGACCGTTTTCATGAAAAATATTCATCTACATAAGTTCACAAAGCCTGCTAGAGTTTTCACGCTTTCGACTGACAGCGAGAACGGTTTCTGGTCACGTGATGACTAGAGTTTAACTCACAAAACAGTTACTATTCAAAGACTGTAACAATGACTTTGTATTATATTCTTCACAACAGAAAGAAAAGTTTTGTGTCGTTTTTAATTCAACAATGAGCATGTGCCTTTTTTAGTCACATCCTTGTAATTGCTATATCTTAATTCGTACGAAAAATACATTCTTAATCATTGTAAAGAATAAGTTTTCTTACTATTTTGATCTTACAAAATTAACACGATCACAACTCTGATTTACGCAGACAATACATTAGTTTCAAGAACAGAAAATATATTAAGATTCAAAAATCTGAGGTAAAAATTTATTTTAAAAAGAACACTATATCAATATGTTTCCCTTAGAATACCAGCGATTTATTGGAGCAAGCATAAGGTTCACAGGTTGCATATGCAGTACAATGCATGTACATGCATGTGCAGATACATGAAGCAGGTTTGTTCACGTGTCTTTATTGCCTGAAACAAGCAGAAATATTAGCCCACCACCACCCTCCAGAAATCTCCAATTTATACTTATCTCTCAAATGCTTAGCAGTTATCTTGTGAAATTTGCATAAGGTAACTCTGGATGTACTCAAATGATCTCCCTTTGAACGACGTAAGTACAACGTTCATTGGAATAAAGCTAATGTAAATGCAAAGAGTCGGTGACGAGATGGCGAGAGTTCATCTTGAAAAAACACCCAAAGTACTGTTCAAAGACTACAAAATTTCCCTGACAGTAAGCCCTTCTAAACAAGCACGATATTAAGATCTTCAAAACAAGCTCGAATTCGTTAAATGTTACAAAGATTTAGTGTTAATGCATTTCAGATTTTACAAATGCACGTAGTATATTGCCAGGAAAGGTAAACAAAATAAATTTCATAATACACTTTACCTTACACTTAGTCAGAAATGTTATTTTCAGAAATAAATGGCATCAAAATCGACTGAATAATAAAATGGAAGTTTATGTCTATTGTGAATTTTTGAGGCCAATTGAATTCTCTCTCTCTCTCTCTCTCTCTCTCTGATTTCATACTTGAAATTTTGCTTTGCACCAAAGGAATTTAAAGTATAAATACACACAATTGAAAATCAATTGCCCTTGAATGAACATAAGAAATATCAAGTAATCTTCATTGGTATGTTGAACAAGTATTTTGCAGCAGTGGTGTCTTGGGATTTGAAGATTTTTATTTGGCTTCGGTTTGTGTCTGATGTGGTTAAAATAATATGTGGATTTCACAATTATTTAGGCCTCAAAATTATTTACGCATGAGCTTTTTGTCAAGATTACGAATTTCACGCAGTCTGATACATCGTAAATGATAAATTTCATAAATTTTATTATTAAAAAAGTAATCGGGGGTTCTTTATTGATTTTGTAACGGCAATGCGAAGTAATGTATGTAAGATGAATGTAAAAATGCAATTTTATGACCGTTTTCATGAAAAATATTCATCTACATAAGTTCACAAAGCCTGCTAGAGTTTTCACGCTTTCGACTGACAGCGAGAACGGTTTCTGGTCACGTGATGACTAGAGTTTAACTCACAAAACAGTTACTATTCAAAGACTGTAACAATGACTTTGTATTATATTCTTCACAACAGAAAGAAAAGTTTTGTGTCGTTTTTAATTCAACAATGAGCATGTGCCTTTTTTAGTCACATCCTTGTAATTGCTATATCTTAATTCGTACGAAAAATACATTCTTAATCATTGTAAAGAATAAGTTTTCTTACTATTTTGATCTTAAAAAATTAACACGATCACAACTCTGATTTACGCAGACAATACATTAGTTTCAAGAACAGAAAATATATTAAGATTCAAAAATCTGAGGTAAAAATTTATTTTAAAAAGAACACCATATCAATATGTTTCCCTTAGAATACCAGCGATTTATTGGAGCAAGCATAAGGTTCACAGGTTGCATATGCAGTACAATGCATGTACATGCATGTGCAGATACATGAAGCAGGTTTGTTCACGTGTCTTTATTGCCTGAAACAAGCAGAAATATTAGCCCACCACCACCCTCCAGAAATCTCCAATTTATACTTATCTCTCAAATGCTTAGCAGTTATCTTGTGAAATTTGCATAAGGTAACTCTGGATGTACTCAAATGATCTCCCTTTGAACGACGTAAGTACAACGTTCATTGGAATAAAGCTAATGTAAATGCAAAGAGTCGGTGACGAGATGGCGAGAGTTCATCTTGAAAAAACACCCAAAGTACTGTTCAAAGACTACAAAATTTCCCTGACAGTAAGCCCTTCTAAACAAGCACGATATTAAGATCTTCAAAACAAGCTCGAATTCGTTAAATGTTACAAAGATTTAGTGTTAATGCATTTCAGATTTTACAAATGCACGTAGTATATTGCCAGGAAAGGTAAACAAAATAAATTTCATAATACACTTTACCTTACACTTAGTCAGAAATGTTATTTTCAGAAATAAATGGCATCAAAATCGACTGAATAATAAAATGGAAGTTTATGTCTATTGTGAATTTTTGAGGCCAATTGAATTCTCTCTCTCTCTCTTTCTCTCTCTCCGCAAGAAGCCGTCGCGCAATAGACATTTAGTGGAATTTCTAAAGACGTGAATGGAATCAATGGATATATAATTTTAGGAGGATTTTCAGTGGACATTTTAGCCGAAGAAAAATTGGTGATCTGTAAAAATTCAATGGACATTTTAATGGAATATCTTTTCGGAGATTTTTTTTATTCTTTTAAAACAATCAATGTAAAGTCAGAAATTGACTATTGGTCAAGAAATTTTAAAATTACTACGTTTACAACTACCGGTATTACTGTGGTTTAGATTTAGATATTCATACAGGTAAATACCTGTACATATTCATCTGTAATTACAAAACTGAACAGCATCGGAAGTAGTAGAGATATAGTTTATGAACGAATCGAGGGAAAAGGATTAAATTCAGTACAGAGCTCAACAGTGTTCAAAGATTACTAAAATCTGATGTTGTTTCTTCAGATGTTCTGTTAAGCACTGCAAAACTCGTATCCTAATTGATTTTCTCCCTTAGAAAGTTCTCCCTTATAATGTATAGTAGGGTATTTTTGTGTGGAACGGTTATTTTGGGGTTTTCTCGATTTTTTCCTAAGGTACACATAATGAATCAGTGTAATAAATATAATTTGTGAAAAAAATGTCCAACAAGCCCGGGGGTTGAATATCCGGGGGGGGGGGGGGGGGTTCCAGTCCACAAGTACCATACACTTTTATATATAGTATTCCCTTTAACTGAAATAGTACAATATTATTGTTGAAATGAGTATTGTCATTTACAAATTGTTATACTATCCATTGGCATATCTTTTCTTTATTATTGTAATAATTTCATACTTGTCTGTTATGGGCTCTAAATTAGAAAATAAATGTTCTGCATGTTCTGTTCTGTTCTGTTAGTACCTGTGATGCTTCCATATTAGATACATAATCCATTCACTGTACGTTAGCCCCAAATACTGCCTAGTTCGTTTCGAACGGTCAGGGGGTCAGGACTCATGACTGATGTTATGCTTGATTGCCTTTACGTTTGTCCAGAAAAAGCGTGTGTATGTGCGGGGGGGGGGGGGTTAAATTGATGTATAATTTGATTTCTGAATGTAACGGGGGAAAAAACATGAATCTAAGTAATAATTACCGCAAGTTTGCTTACATATACACTTGCAAATAATTCATTCAGGAATTAAAAGGTGACCTGCTTTTGCCTTGTTTTGCATACCTGCCGTTTGTATACCTGTCGTATAGCAATAATTCAGCTTGTCATTTTGTCACTGCCTCGGTCTGGGCTTGAACATACGTAGCCTGGGGGTTAAAACTTTCAAACGACCTTCAATTGTATTTTCTGCATCTAGTGGATCTTCTCTTAAAGATGGAGAGATTTCTCGCAGTTGCCCTCCTCGTGGTCTTGTGTTTTGCCTCAGGTAAGTCGTTCACATGGATTCATTTTCTTTCCTATATAATGTCCGTTCCTTTGAACATTCCGAAGAATTAACAACATCAACACAATTTAATGTGACCTTTTCGTGTACTTTTTTTGAGACAAACCGTTTTGTTCTCCCAAGTTTGTAAGATCTAAATCCTACATCAAAATATCATTTATTGTAATGAAGATTTCGCCTTTGTGTATTGAGAGTAAGTCTTCTATACTTAATAATTTTGATCTGTGAAAAAATACTAGAGGTAGCCAATATAGGTAACCAAGATCATATTTTTTGTATATGTTATAGCATGGATGTGAATGTTGTAAAATAACGTTTTAAAATTAAACCCGCCGTGGTATTTTTTTTTTTCCAAATCGAATTTTAAACTTCAAAAACTATGCTGAACATATATTGAAATTGCACATAGGAGGCAATTTCAAATTAGAAAGGACACAACCAAACTGAAACACGACCTAAAATTAGTAATATTTTATTGTGTCGTATATTTGGTATTGGGGGGGGGGGGGGGGGGCATGCGATCCCTTCAAACCTGTACATTCAACCTTTACACTATCTCCATTAAAGAAATCTCGGACAATTTAAGGTCAATGTATTTAGTCGTCAGCAAATAATGACATCTCAAGCTTAACATTATTGTGTCGATTTATCGCCAATTTAATTTTCTTTTAATATACACGTGTAAGAGGTGGGGGTGGGGGTTACAAAACTACAGAAACTACTTCGGTGGGTTGCAGTTTTAGAAGAAAAGGGCAAAAATTTTGGACAATTTGTGTTTAATAATTTATTCTTTATATGTACGTGAATTGCGCTATTTTTATTATAACAAGTGATGCCTTCAAGCAATTATACTTTCATATATGAATTTTTAATATCGTGCAACCCGCTAGGAAAGTGTTCTTAGTCACCTTTGAGGTGTTTTGCGCAATCTAATTAAATTCTTAAAGTTGGTTAGGTCAGCTAGAATCTTACTTCAATGGTGGAAAACTTGAAACAAAGTATTAACTATAAAAAAATTTAAAAACAATATTTCATAATATTTTAAAAAATTACTTCACCCGTTTTTTTATTATTATTATTATTATTATTATTATTATTATTATTATTATTATTATTTCATAAAAGTCTTTTCTATGCCGTTTTATACATTTGATGGCCAGTACCTTATATATAAATCATAAAGAATTCTTCTATGTTACATCAACGTTTGTCAATCTTTCAATCTTCGTGAAGGATTTGGTGGTTATTTTTTAAAATTATTAAATATGTTTGGAATTTCAGGCCGTGCTATAAACTGTATAACCTGCGACTCATTGAAGGATGTGCAGTGTGGTGACCCCTTCACAGCCGACCAGGAAAAATACATCGTTAAATGTAAACCAACAGAAACTTACTGTGGAAAAATCGTTAGCACGGAGGATAGTAGATCTGGTGAGTGTTTTTGTGTGTGTGTGTGTGTGTGTGTGTGTGTGTGTTTAGAACAGTGGTCCCTGTCTTATTCAGGGTTAGAAGGGAAGAAAGGTTGCCAAATCGTGCTTTGTGCAAATACTGTGCATTCAGTAGAGGTCGCGTTCGAATTTTATGATTTTTAAAATGTGCAAAAAGTGGATATCTATTCTACATATTGCTTCACACTTTTCTTTGCTACTTTAGAAGCTTCCCAGTTTTTTTTAATGTTTGGTCGATATATGTGTTTTGATTCATAAGGATTTTTTTATAACAAATGTGGAAGTTTTACATGTAAAAAAAAAAATGAGCATGAACTTCACTATAATGACTTTGTTTAAATCAAACTTTTAATAAAAAGTTTTAGGTGAGTAATAACTGTGATCTTGATAGCTCTAGTGAATAAATTCCCATTTTTTTGTACTTTACAGCACCATTCGTGAAGAGAAGTTGCGTGGAAGATCGAAGCAATGAGAACTACACATGGACACCTCCTGCCGAGTGTGAAGAATTGAACCTATTGACAACTTGTTACTGCAAAACCAGTAGATGTAATTCAAGTGACAGGAGTGCAATCTGCCTATTATTATTGGCCTTTTCAGTTGTTTTTGCTTTCATGATCAGAAAAAATTATTAAAGACACTTTGATATAGATTTTTTGAAAATTCTTTTTTGTAATATTTTGCATTCATTTTTTTCCCCAAATCTCAGTATTGTTCAGATTTATTTCTAGGATTTTTCAAATAAAATTCTTTTACGGAATCATGATTTTCTCACCACTGTCAAGATTTTTACATGTATTCAGATATCATCAAAGTATTGTATTATACCTATCAAAATATGACCGACTTTCAAATAAACGAAAAAAGAAACTTTTTTGTTTTGTTTGTTTGTTGTTGTCGTCGTTTGTTTTGTTTTTGTTTTTTTGCTTTACCTTTGCTTTCTGGTGTACGCGTCTCTGTCATTTTATGAAGGCCTTTATTATAAAGTTCGTACTGGATACTTTGTACTTGAAAACTACTGGCCAGAAGTTTTTGTTTGTTTGTTTGTTTTTTAAAGAATTGAACCTCAATAATCAAGAAAAAATAGACTCCCTAGTGTTAAAAAATTATGAACATATTTTCTGATTAGGAACACGTCATGATCAGTTATCAAGTATTGGGGTAATCGAATAGGAAGAGAGGGGGGGGGGAGAGAGAGAGAGAGGGTCGACATGTACTTGAGAGGATCGAATGGAAAACTGAATATCTGAAAAAAACTTAGTTAAAACACAATGCACAAATTTCACACAAATGATTAATTTATGTTTGTGGACTTTCAGCGGTTAAAGACTGAAAAACCACTCAGAATATAAAAAAAAATGAGACGGTTTTTATAGGATTCGCAGGTTTGTCATTGCGAAATCCAATGCTTACCGAGAGTGCATTTTCTCATTTTATCGATCTGGCACATCTGGTTAAATCAGTTCTGTTGATCCGATCCGGCTGTGACATTACACAATTATTGCTGTTTTTGAGGTCAATACGATGATTTAGCCACCTTAGGAGTACAATATTCTGTGCATGCGTGTATCACTTTCGGTCCGGACGACATCTCATAACGCCCTTTGAGCTTTTGCAATGAAATTTTATATCACAACAAAAGACCCCTATTGATTTTTAGGTCAAAGGTCAAGGTCAGAAATTCATATATTACAATAAAAAAAAGGTTTCCATATTATAATAACTTGAGTTTTAAGCTTTTTCAATGAATTTTTACATCAAATTAAACTCTCAATGTCTCAATAAAAGACATCTACTGATTTTGAGGTCAAAAGGTCAAAGATCAGGGTCAGAAATTCATATTCTGTCTATGTGTAACACCTTCGTTCCGGACTCAAAGAGCCTATTGATTTGAGGTCAAAAGGTCAAAGTTCAAGGTAAGAAATTCATACAGTGCAAAAAATGATTTCCCAATGAAAACTTAAATTTTCTTTGAGCTTTTGCAATGAAATTTTATATGATAACCCCAGCAATGACTTAAAGAAGGCACTTTTGATTTTGAGGTGCACATGGTACATGAACATTTAAACTGTTGACCTGTTGGAAACTGTTGGAAAGAGTGAATTCGAATACTTAAAGTCACTTGTTAGAGTTCAAGTTCATAGTGCCTTAAACAGTTAAATTGGGTTTCATTAGTTTCAATTAGAAGAACATTTACATATGAATTAAAATATCATGTTAATTTTGTTCATACACATGCGCAAACTATTGCGGCAAATCTTTAATCTCTTCACAATCTTATTAATCTCGACTTATAAACTACTTCCACAGCTTTACATGTTTTTATATTAAATATTTTGTTTTTATAGACGCCCACCTCGAACAGGGAGATATTCCCTCACTTAACCGCTTAAGGTATGTCATTAGTAAGAATAATTTGACTTAATTAATATTATAAATAATATTTACACATAAAAACAATGCTCCTAATACGGACTGCGCTGTTTTGTTGGAATCGAGTTTAAATTTAGTTTTCCAGTTTAATACATCCGGTGTTGAGTTACTTTTTTTGGAAAAGTACAAAATCTGAAAATGTTTACAAAAGTGTCAGTACAGGGGAGAAAGCATTGATTAAAACAATTTCTGTGCAAAATCACAAAATTTTAAACAGGAAAATGTTGATAAAGCTAACATTCTTCTTTATCTTGAAGCAATGGGAATGAGTATGCAGCTTAAAAAGAAACTCCTGTTGGCCTTTGTTAGTGTACTCCTTATTGTGGTAATATTTATAACATATGTTGGTCGTGTGATTCCATGGCGTGCCTACAATCACCATGAAAATGTATTTGAGTATGATGAATATAATGATGGAGATTATGATGAGAAAGCACGCCTTGAAAAGGCGAGGAACAATCTACCAAAATGGAATTACACAAAGAAGAATATAGGCATTTTCATCAGACCACGTCTTGACTGGATGGTAACACGACGTTTTTTTAAATTAAGAAATAATTTCCTGTGTTGGATGAATTGTTGGAGAATATACCCCGACAGTCAAGAGATTTTGTTGGCAAATAAAAACCAAGCCCCAAGGGCAAAGTTTTTATTTGCCAACAAATCTTGAGACTGAGGGGTATATTCTCCAACAATTCCAACAACAAGGGAATTATTTCTATTCTACTACGGCGATTAAAACTTACCTAAAGAGAAATGCAGAAGCTAGATTTGGACATCATCATAATTGTCTTATGATGTCACAATTGAATACTATCCTCGTTCATTTGTATCTCAAGGCGTAGAATAGGTACAATGTAATCTGAACCCAATGTAAATGTTTTCCCACCAATTTACATCACAATTAAAAGATACCTTTATCCATTTCCTAGTGAAGGCAGTAAAAATCAGAGGAACCCGCTTAAAAATTATCAATAATTTGTTGATGATGCTTGTGGTTTATTGCAGAATAATGGCCGTGGCATCTCTTTGATCTTTGCAATAACTGTAGTAGAATGTCCCTTTATTTACTGATATCTATAGAAAAAAATATTTAATACGTTAAAGGGGCATAGATGCATTTGTATACTATTCAATATTTATTGTTACAATTTTGAATATCCTTAATATGTATTTTAGAAATAACTTAGTTAAATGATATGAATGGACAGGAAAATTCTTCAGATTCAATGACAATGGCATTGTTTATATCATAAAACTTGTGCTTGAGCTCTGTTATCATGGTTATTGTGTATGTTTATGTTTCAAATACTGAGTGTATTCCATTTACATGTACTAACACCAGGGTTCGACATTCACGCTCGTCACCTCGTCATTTCCATCCCTGAATGATTTTGGACGACCTGATTTTCAGTCTGGCTCGCCCAAATGACGACCTGGGATGAGTTGGGAATATTCAATAATGTTGTTTAATATTTTATTATAATAAAATAAACTTTATAAGGCCTTGAAAACATTGTTTCCTGTAACTCGACCGACCCATTCAAATAGCAGCCGCGTGGATTGTTCTTTCTGCCAAATCTGTGTTTGATCAATTAGCTGATGTAATTTTTACCAAAAGTTTTAAGTTTTATTTGAGATATAAATATGTAAACCTAGTTAACAATCACCATAAAGAGTAATGATCATTATTGTAACATCTAGCATTTCCCCCCACAACTTTCTGATGTTCGTTTTCTGCTGCTAGACAGCCATGTTGGGTGTCCACTGTAAACATCACACCTGATTAATTCAGTCCAGGGATGTTTGACCCCCTTTATTTAGGCCTTTATGGTAAGTGAAAATGAATGTTTTAACTAGAAAGTTTATTTTGTGTCAGTATGTGAGGTGAGATTGTACATTAGCAAAAAAAAAAAAAAAAAAATCCTGACCTACCAACCCTTTTGCTTTATTGGGAATATTACATGAAACAAACATAATTTTTAAAGCCTAATTAGCATTCTGATTCTGCTTTTTAATATTTGTTGGCTGTTATGTTTGTTTGATAAAATACTGGAAGACAGCTTTTTGCATTCCAAAAATGTCTGGTTTACATTTTATGATACAAAAGCACAACTTAGCAAATTTTAAACAATTGCACATTTTTGTTTCATTTGATATTTTGTTTGGGCGACCTGAAATTCATTCGGGCAACCTGAAATCAGTACCAAGGTTGCCCAAATGGCGAGTCCAAATTTTGACGAGTGTCGAACCCTGTAACACTGCACATATTACTGAACATGAATACACTTGATTGTTGATTATAAATGTTTGTTACATTTCTGATCTGACTTTCCTGGATTATAGTTTTAATTTTTTTTTTTTAATAAATATACCACAGATGTCCCATTTTATTTATTTTTTTTTTAATACACCACAGATGTGCCATTTTTCTTAAATATTAAAAAGACTTAAATATATGAAAGTGCAAGGATATGACAATCAGACAGACTTGAAGTTCAGTGTTAGATTTCAGTTTTTCAGTTAAAAGGAGTTTCTAAACATGTTTTTATACAATATTATTTATCCTGCCTCTGATAAAATCTTGAAATTTCTTTGGTCAAGAAGAATACTGTATAAAACTATACCATGCTGCCTACTGATATATTGTTAATATGCCCCGGCCTCCATGTGACCTACTGACCAGATATCAAATCAGTGCCTCCCTCCAAGTGACCTAATGACCAAAAATCAAATTCATGTACCGGTACTGATTTTACTTTACCTCACAAGGTAAAGGTATTAACTTATGTCACATAAGCCTCAAACAATGTAACAATGTAAACAATTGTTATAGAATTTGCTTCGCTCACAGAAAATGAACTTTATTGAAAATCTTTTGCAGGGTAAATTTGTTATGTAGACACTTAGAGAGGTAAGGCCATCTTTAAAATAAGGTTTGTTTGCCTCTCCCGACTCAGGATAAAAGAATTGGGTTGGGACATAGGAAAAAAAATGTTCCAGAAATTTTCAATATCAATGCTGAATGTTCAAAATCTATTATAATTGAAGGTAAATTTAAAAATAGTTGTTGTCGAGATGAGAAAATTCTGGAATGAATAAAAATATAACTGTTTCCTGGAAGTTAAAAAAAAAAGTTTTTAGTCCAACCATTTTAAGCCAGTCAGTCAGCTCAGCTTATGTCTTTCTCAATTTGCTTCTTTCAAGTACCCCACATATTTCTGTATAACCCCTATAAGTGTCTACATAACTACTAATATCAGTCTGAAATGCTCTGGCAACATGTAAGTCATGAAATTTTTCCAAAAGTTTTGAAAGATATTAACTTCAAAATCAAGTCTATGTCCATTTTATATTTGTCAACATCTTACTGAAATATTCAAAATTTGAATCTGTCCAATAAATTTACCCAAGTGGCTCTATATTTGGAATATCTTTTAAAATTGTCTTACTCCAGAATCATACACAGCAGGGTGCGAGTACATGTATTATGACTGTTCTTTCCTTAGAGAAGCTTCTTATTTGCAAAGACATTTAAAACATAATCTATTACATTTATGATATAAGTCCTGTTTGCTCAAAAGTAAATATTTACTACATAATTTACTCAGCATTTTTTTTTTCATTAAGACAACATGGGTTTATCACATTTCATTTTTGATGTATTTCTTTTCTGTTTTAGCCAACACCAAAAACAACAAAGCCACCACCACAACTTATTGTAAAGAAAAACAAGGAGCTTTCATTCTCCCCAACTCTACCACTTGATAAAATTGAGGAAAATTTCTACAAGTAAGCATATGATAAACATAAGAAAGCTCAGGTTGGGACTGCAAAAAGTAAACTGACTTCACAGAGAATGTTAAAGCTATATATGGCGTATCTGAGCTAAAAATTAAAAATGAGAGATTGAGTGTAGATAAACATGATATATATGTTATTTAAGTTCAAATTAAAATTTTCACCCATATTGAGCTTGAATAACCTCATGTTTCCTTAGTTAAATTGATTTTAAACTGTCTGTTAATTAAATGCGGAGTCGGTAAATAAATCGGTTATTGTTTTAAATTTCTAATATCTTTGAAACGTGATTGATTTAAATTGTGTAATTTACAGAAAATCCTATCTTTATGTAAAGTAATAAAACAAATAGAAAGATCTTTTTAATTTTAGTTAGTCTGAACTTATAAAAATATGCCATTATATGACTTTAACCTCTGTGTCATATATGGACCACATAATTTAAAAATCTGATGGAGGTGATGGAGGTTTTTTGATGGCTACTTTTCAGCTCATCTTGATAAGTTGAGATGAGCTTATGCTATATACATATGGCAGTGGTGGTCCAGGTTATAGTTTAAGGATCAATTCCATTCCCTAGTTAATATACACCCTACTTGGGTCAAACTTGAGTGGAAGATGTATTAAGAAATGCACACTACCAGAATTGCTTCAGATGCTGAATCTGACCTACATTTTCCAGAAGAGTGACCAGGTTAGTTTTTTGAGCAGGTTTATTCCCAAGTAACTAGAAGCCCCATTTGTCCAGACTTGGATGGATGGTTCATCTAGAGATAACAGGCCCGTAGGAAGCAATTTCACTTTGAGGGGGCACAACCATGCATTTTCAGTTGGGGGGGGGGGGGGGCACTATGAACTACCAAAATTCCCTGGCAAGCTTAAAAAAAAGGGTCATCAGACATTATTATTGAGGGGGCACAAGCATATAGCAGCAATGTTTTCTATAGTATTTTATATATTGGCAAAATTATTTGGGGGGGGAGGGGGAGGGGACACCCCCCCCCCTCCGTTTCCTATGGCCATGGATAAACACTACCTGAACATTTATTTGGTGCTGTACTTTGCTCTGCTTATACATGTAGATAACATTTTTTGAGTTATGTGTTGTGATCTCTAATTTATACCTCTGTGTATATCTGCAGTTGTATTTACTTTTTCTAAACAGGTCAGGGAATTAGCTGTACCCTGTAAGGACAATTTGCAGTTAGAATGTTGGGAAATAAAAGCATGTCTACTTAATTGTGAAATTCAACCCTTACTTACATAAAGTACCGGTTATTCTATTACTGCTTATATATTTGTATATTTTCTTCTGTTGATAGGTATTTGGAGCAAAAAGATGTCATTTGCAAACAAGACAAAAGACTTGGATACCAGCATGATGGTGGATACAATGTGTGTTTTTCACCTCCGTTTGGTCTGAAAAAGCCATGCCTAGTATACTCATTTGGGTAAGAAATGCATGGGGGGATCTAATAGGGGATAGAGTCCAAGACACGAATTCTTTTAAAGCATTTTGAATTGGTATGGTACAAAACATATAAATTAATTTCAGTAACATTAATAGAGTAATAAAGTTTAAGACTAACAATAAGACACTATATTATCTTTATATTGGCAACGTTGCCTCAAGTAATTTATCATTATCTAAAGGAGACAATTTCAAGAATGAAGATGTCTAGATGCCAAACTAAGTTATTAACTGATTTAAAAAAGCAATAACAAAACTTTTCAGTATTGCAAATGACTGGAACTTTGATGATGCAGTTTCCAAAATTTATGGCTGTAGGGTATTGTCATTTGATCCCAGGTTAGTTTATATTTCAGCATGATTGACATTTGAAAATGTGCTCAGGATCTCTTCTTTTTTATATTGTATATCATTATTTTAATATTTACATGTATTTTAATTCATTAAGTGTAATACTGATATTTGAAAATTTAAAGATAATGAAATATCAGAGTTTCCGAAAACCAAATATTTCTATTTCTTTTCGGACTGATGACTTAAAATGTTCTACCAGTCCAAATAAATTCGACTATAATTCATGGTGCTGGTTTGGACTGGTCTTGTCCTTTCACCTGAAAGTATACATCAAATTGCTGCAGAACATAAATGCCAACTTAACTGGACCTTGAAAGTACTCAAATTGAGTGTGTAAATGTTTCTGTCGTTACAACACAAATTTTGAGACATCGCAATAGATCAGAGTACAATAAACTCATTAAAGAAAATTAGAAAGTGTACTTGCTAGAGCCTTTTTGAGATTACAAAACTTTACAGGTACAATGAAAAACTCCAGATTGTTAAATCAGATAATAATTGGTCACACAGACCGGTAATATGGCAATTTGTGTCGGACATTTCAATTTTTTATCAGTTTTGCTGGTAGAACCGATGGTTTTCAGAAACTCTGTATATAGATGTAATTATGACGAAGTTCTCTTTATATGTTCAAAATTTTAAACAGTATGCTTTACAAATTTTAGGCGAGAAATATTCGTTTAATTTCTCCACTCATACTCAGGAATTATGTTTTTAAGAATCATTTGCTTATGAGACATTCATGAATCAAGGAAGCTAAGATGCAAAGTTTTTTGTTAGTTTGTTGCAAGATTAATTAATTCATGAAAAAATGGACATTCTTGGGTATACAGAATGTCAGATAATACCTGCATTATTAGCCTAGCACTGTTGAAAAAAATTAATGAAAAAGTGTGGACTAAGTCTGCAAGATAAAAGACATCTTTGAATTGTTACTCTAACTGTTGTGATTCTCAAGATCATTTAGCATTTATTGTCAGTACAAAAAAAATCCTTTCATTTTAGCCTAAAAGATGTGCATAACCATAATAGGAGTGATTTAATCACATTCAAAAAAATAGGACTGGGAGGCAGAAATGGCATCAACAGTAAAGGATGGAAAATGAAGACACTGAGTCAACATTTAGAAGATGAAGGTCACACAAAGGTCAGTGACTGGTTTGTTGAGATAAAAAGATCTTCAGATAAGTCATACAAGGGGTGTAACTATCATAAACCCCTCTCCCAGTCTTTTTGAATTCTGAATTATCTTGATAATGAGAATTGTGAATCTTTCATTTTAATTATGTCAAGATTAATGCAAGATAAATTAGAAATTATAAAGATTTAAGGTTTCATAGTTGCAATAATTATAGCCCTCTCCTTTTTTTTTTGAGAGGGCTAGCCAGAAAACATCAGATTAAAAATATCAGCTAAAGGCTTCATATCCTTTCATATCCCTTATACTTGGGTTCCAAGAGAGAGAGATATATATATATATATATATATATATATATATATATATATATATATATATATATATATATATATATATATATATATATATATATATATATATATATATATATATTAGAATCTGAATACTGGTACACATAAAACATTTATCAACAAAATTATGTAGATTTATACTAATACTGATGTTGTTTCTCTTTTCGTAGACTGCCATTGACTATCTGAAGTTTGATGTTGAATACACAGAATGGAAAATTCTCAAAAATATTGTGAGTGATAATTCTCTAGACAATGTAAAACAGATTGGATTTGAGATGCATACTCCTGAGTTTTTGTACAAGTTTAAGAAAATTCCCAAACCAAAGCATACCACAGTGAAGGACTACCTAGAAATGGTCAAATTACTGAAGGGACTAGAGAAGAAAAACTTCAGAAGGTTTAACCACAGAAGAAATCCTTTTTGTGAATATGAAGCACCAGGTTCTAATAAGAAATATTACCATTGTTATGAACTCCATTATGTTAACATGAAGTTTGTGTCAGCCAATCACACCATTGCTGAGGAATAACGGGGGATTTAGATATCCACAGATTTTCATGAGATTATAATTGGTAGCTTCTTTTTTTTTTTTTTTTTCAAGAAAGTGGGGAAAAAACTTTATAAGGTACAATGTACCCAGATAATTTAGATATGTGTGTACTACTGTGTGTAAAATATTTTAAGTTTAAATTATACATGTATAAATAAAGATATACCAGTATTTTTTCTCCCTTGGGTGGATTACTCGCACATGCGGTAAGAGCTGGTAAACATTTTGCAGATATAAATGCTTCATACTGTAAAGTCACTTATTTTCGGAGGGTCAATTTTTTGTTGTTTTAAGGAAGAAATATTGAATTGTGGGTATTTGATTTCATGGTTAAGGAGGGTAGAGATATTTTAAATTATTTTAACATTTTATGGTGGGCATGATTTGTGGGTCTCTTCATACCACACAGTGAAAATTAAATCCCAATGAAAATGAGTGATTTCACAGTAAATTTAAGATGGTCCATGTGGAGGTATTGGTATATCAGAGGAATTTCAATTGTTTTTAACCATCAGCATAATATTAATTACATTATGTTTAAGCCACACCAAATTAATTTTTCTTTTGCATCCTCTTCCCATAATGTATAAATTGATCAATGAAAGTGAGAACTCCCCATCTCCCCAAATGTATATATGTGGTTTATTTTTGTGTAAATATTTTGGGATAAATATAATCAAAAAAGCAAACAATGTCCTTCATTGTTTAAGACCCATGAATACACTACATTTTGTTTGGCTGTAATTTTTATTTTTACAATTTGAAATGTAGATGATATTATATCTTTCAGCTTTGCTGATTCTAAAGAATGGAAAATTGATTTGGTGTGTATTGTACCTTTACCAGCATTATAATTTGCATTTATACAGACTTTATATGAAGAGGTTGTGATGTTTATCTTTTTTTTTTTTTACTTTTATATGATATATACATGTAGTTATACTATATAATATACCAGATATTGTTGTCCATTTTGTTATTCATTTTGCATATTTTTTTTTACTATTAATACTGGTAAGACCAGACAGATTATGCAATGGTAGAGTGTCCATTTTCCTTAACTTTGTCTGTAAATAATTTTTCAAAAGGCTACTCCTCCTATTATTATGGTCTGGTTTCAATAATATTTGGTATATAAGCACACTATACCAGAAACATCATTCTACAGAAAACTGTTGACATACATGTAGTTACTGAAAATGTATTTGTTTTTAATTTCTCAAAAAGCTACCCCCAAGCCCCCCTTTTTTCTGAAAAAAGAATGATTTGTGAAAATCTTTAAAAATGTTACCTACAGTTTTGGTTTGATTGTCAATTAAAATTGATACAAGTGAAGAAAAACAAGCAAATTCAGAGAATTGTGGTCCCCTGATTTAGGGGTCTTATTGATTAGGGGTGCAATGATTTATTTATTTAACCATCTTGTTTGTCCTGGCTTGTCTGTTCATCTCTCTCCCCCCCCCCCCCCCCCCAAAAAAAAAGTTTTAAATTGTTGATTTTGATATTTATGTTCTGGTGCAAAGTTGTCACCAAGATTAAAGTTTTTGAAAGTCAAACTTTGAAGTCTTAAGTCATGAGGTCAAAAGTCATAGTACATTCCAAAATGTCTAGTCACAAGTAATGCACGTGTAAAAATATGAAAGCCCTGTCTCTTCAGTTGTAAAAGGTATGGCCAAATTAAATTTTTTTTTAAAGGAGGTCAAACTTTAATTCCAAGATCATGATGTCAAAGATGACCGTACTCCTTGGAAGATGTTGTCACAGGTAATGTACCTGTAAAAAATTACCAGGGTCACAGGGTCGAAAATCATAGTGCATTTGGAAAGGTCTTAATGTTGTAGGTAATGCACATGTGAAATACGAAAGCTCTATCTAGATGACCAATGTTAATATTTTCTAAAATTAGGTCAATTTCAAGATCAAGGTCATGGGGTAATAGTGCATTTGAAAAGGTCTTAATTGTCACAGAAAATGCAGGTGTCAACTATGAAAGCCTTATCTTTTTTCAACAACAGCAGGTTTCTTAATTCTGTAAATGTAAATCTAGAAAAGTGTGTTCCAAGTCCATTTACAACTTTTCACATCCAATAGTACAAGTACATCAGTAAAGCTACAGTCTCGTCAGAGATTTCTGGTTACAAGGCATAAATCTGGAGGATGTTATGGCACATGTATTTATAATATTCCTACATAATGTTAACATTAAACATTCCATGAATAATTACTGAATTTTGTTGTTTCTTGCATCAAGGTTGAAAGAACATAATTTATTGCAGTCAAAGCTCAGAATCATAGGACTTGATCATAAGAATAATTATTGTAGACTTGACCTAGAAATTGTAGAAAAAAAGAGTATTAATTGATTATAATCTCAGCACAACAAAGTCGGGGAAGCTTATGCTAAAACCTTGGCATTGGCATTCCAGGTTGAAATTTTCTGGAGCAGATTTGTTTTCAAGTACATGTACAGCCAAACCTTATTATGTTGAAGCTGATGGGCTGAGAGAAAACTTCAAGATATCTAAAGATTTGAGATATCGAGGTTAAAATACATGAAAACTGGTTGGCACTTTCAACTCACTTCAACATCTCCATGGTATTCCAGATATTGGTGTTTAACTATAACTGTATACTCTTAATTGATCAGAATTGCACTGTTACACTAGTCAGGTTTCAGATGCTGCATTTTTAGCCAATATTTTTCAGAAAAATGACAAGGCGAATGTTTGTAGATCTGACTTGCTTTGGGTGCTGTCCCCATCTGACCATATGAGTGAACAGAAAGTTTCTGGAGCAGCTCCTTCCCAATTAACCATTAAACCCTATTTTAACCAAGCTTGCATGGATGATGCATATGAATTGCACACTATCAGACTTACGAACTTCAAACGCATAATCTGACCTATATTTTCTGGATGAGTGACCAGGTTAAATTATTTGGAGCAGGTTCATTTCCATTCCAAGTGATGTGACTATATTTGCATCTAAGATGCAGACTACCAGATTTGGTTAGGATGCTGAATCTGATTTGCATTTACTTGGTGATTGAACATTTAAATTTTTTGGAGTAAGTCCATCCCCAAGTAATTATAAATCCTTCTCATACCAATCTTGCTTAGATGTTGTATCTAGGATTGACACTACTAAAATGGTTGAGTGAGAGACTGTCTTACTTACAGGTACATGTAATATCCATCGAGGGAATGTAATCTTTTATTACCTGAAATGTTTTCAACTTGATATTGTTTCCACAAATTGACTCAAGAAAAAGCCGTAAGCACTGTATTCAGAATAACTGATTCAAATATTTGATAAATAATATTTAGTGCACAGGCATCCATGTTTTCTTAAGTAACACAATGAAGTATCTTCTTATTCTTTCTTTTTTTCTTCTAAATAAACTGGTCTGCAACCTGATTTGTCAAGTCAAATTGAAGTGTTAATACTGTATTGAGTAACTTATGATTTGGTCTAAGCTCAATTATAAAGACATCCAACACATTATCACTGCTTTGTGAGTTTTAATTAGTCAAACATATAAAAGTAAGAAGTTGGTACATAATTAGATATGTATAACAAAATGCATAGGTCACCTGACCAGCTTCACGAGTCAAATAACAATAAAGGCCCCTTACCCTCCCCAAATCATCATAGAATTGTGGTTCCTCCATCGTCATAAAAAAATAGTCATTCTGTGAGAAACATTCCAAAAGGTCTTGTAAACATAATACATTCTGAATTGAAATACTATTCAAACATAAAGCTTGAAATGATTTTTGTTTTCTTGGATAAAATTTGAATTAAAATTCTTCACATGGAATAACAAGATTATACACATGTACAAATGTTCCAAATTTTAAGGTATCTACTACCAGTTGCTGAAACAAAGACGAAGAATCATCAAGATTAATATCTACGGTAGACATTACAAAAAGAATAACAATCTATAAAATTTGTCTTCAATGCACAGAAGGACTGCTTGAATGCAAAACAGTTTACTAAAAATTCTTCACATTTTTCCTACAATGTAGTTCTTAACATTAGATACAAGAAGATTTTGTTTTTAAAAAAATACAAAAGAATACTGGTCAAGGCTTGTGGCATTTGCATAGCGAGTTTGTAGAATAAGACTTCGATGTGTCGATTTCTGAGATCAGGGACTTGCTGGCATAACACATAAATCTGTGTTCACATTCAAAACTTCCACAATATTTCGAACATTTGGTAAAACATCCCAAATTTTAGGGTGAATGGTAATGGGGACTTCTGCCCTGTAAAAACAAGTTTTTATTTTAATTTAAAATATTTTATATGAAAGTACAAGAAATAAACTATAAAACTTACTGGATCTTTCAGAATCTGCAGTGTTTCTATCAATAAAGTTGATCTTCTTACTTTAACTTTAAAGCAAGTAATCTTAAAATCTATATGTATTTCTATCTGTATAAATTGTTTATCCTATGAGTGAGGTGAATATATGAAGCTGAGATTTTTTTTGGGGGGGGGGGGAGGGAGGGATCAAATGAAGGGGTTTCAAATAGAAATGAATGATTTGGACCTTGACCTATTAGTAAATGTTAGTCTCTTCGGCTTTCAATTTTTCAGAATTTTTTTGAAAATGAAGACTTAAGATGAAAAATACTTAATAGGAAGTTACATCCTATAAACATGTAATAATCATGCCAACAGTTAGGACTGTTTTACCCTGATCTTTGACCAAGTGACTTCAGTCTTTAAAAGTGTCCTTTTTCTCACAATAAGCTATGTACTATATACATGTACATGTATATAAAATCTAAAAATTAACTGGAGGTACTGTGAGCATGAGCTCACCAAATGTTACCCCTGCTTCCATACAAGTATGATGGGAAAGTCTATTTTTTTTGGCTATGGGAAAGCCCAAATATCTGTTGTGATGAGAACATAAAATAGGAGGTGCACAATGGCCTATGTATTAAGGATTTTGTGAAAGTCTCATTAAATTTTATTCAGTGGTAGGGGAGTAGCAGATAAGAGATGGGTACCCCCAAGTGTTACAGACATAAAGACAGAAGGATGGACACCCGCTTCACTATATACTCCCACTTTTCAAGTGGGCTGTGTAAAATAATATACATGTATAAAATATATATTTCAACACAAGTGGGACCCTAAAGACTTCTATCCTTTTCTGCAAAGACGAACTTTAGGTGTTTAAAAGTATAGCTCAGGATTTCAGTCTATCATTCAATCAACACAACATGAAACATGAAATGCCTTCAACACACATCAAAGAGAAATCTAGAAATACAGTGCATTATTAAAAATTGATATCTTGGAAAAATGTTGAGAATAATGTTAAGAGGAAAATATCGTATTTCATGTCCTGCTTACCCTTTAACATTCATCCAATTTTTTGTCACCAAAATAAAGGCATCAGGAGCACCAGACAAAATGGCTTCCATTTCTAAAAGCTACAAGAATAGGAAAGTTTTTCAAATACACATGTACATGTAAAGTTTATAACGGTTTCTTGATAGCTTTCTATTTATATTAACCATTAAACCAAACAATTCATTAGGAAAATTTACTGACTATAAGATTGAAGTTCACATAGTAGAATGTTTGGTCATTGTCTAATATATATCTGAATAATGTGTTCATTTACATGACGTAATGCAAAAGCAGCTCTATTTACAGGAGTATTTTCACTAGTGGAATACAATCAAAACTCCTGAAACAGACCTAAATGTGTGACAAGATGAATTTGATATATCTAGAATCCTCCCCTATAATTGAATTATTTACACATATGTGTAAATTTTTACCAACCTTCCCACTTGGAATCTTTCCATAAACAAACTTGTTTACAGACATTATAATCCCCACTGCCACCGAGTATATTACAGCACTGCAAAAAGAAAGATTTAATAAAGTGAGCATATCACAGCACTACATACAATAAAACTTTTAAAACCATTTGAAACACAAATGTACCAACAAAGGATCATGTACATGTTAATCAGAACATGGAATTTCAGCTTCAAAGGAATACAATGTTTCATTGCTCTTTTTCTGCACAAGAATAATTTCTATAAAATATTGCAACAAAAAAAAATCTAGCAAATGATAGCTTTAGGGAAGAAATCTTCAGATTAAATATTAAAAATTTTAGATTAAATATTAAAATGCAACGAACCTATTTCCCCTTGTAAGTGGCATAAGATTATAAATGTAATACATCATCGTCAAAATTTTATCCATAACTGAATCTGTGTTCTACAAGAAACATATTCAAATACACTTAAAATTAAAATCTAATAATTTTTGTTTGCAAAATGAAATCGTTTTTATCTTCATAAGTTAAATTCTTTAATTAACCAATGAAGATGCAATCTATAATGACATATATACTTGTACAATGCACATGTATTTATATCAGGTAGATTTTATAATATTTTAGCTTGTTTAAATAAAACTTGTACACAAAATACTTTGCCTTTAGTCATACATGTAGTTCAGCTTTGGCTTCACCTACCAGTGCTTTTCCTATTCCTATCCTTTTTATTTCTTCTTGAATCTGATTAAACACTGCATCTATTTCAGCATGGTAAAGTTGAGTTCGAGCTTTACTATTAACAATACTAATGGCAAAAGTCATCTTGTTACTCCTACAAAATACAGCAAATACAGATTTTATCAGTTAAAATGGAGAATGCTGCACAAAGGAAATTCTACCTTAAAAGAAGAAAGTCTCTTGGTTTGGAGGGGTGGGGGGATTAAAAGCACAAAAAATGTTGCTGAAATTGGAAAGTTTTGTTCACTTCTTATATAAAATGCATATTTTTGCTTACATATCACGTGACAAAACAACCATAGAACCATCTAATCTTTCTTCATTTCTTGAACTTGGCACTTGTGTAGAAACCATGAAACCATTTTCATTTATATTTCGTTTCTACAATAGACAAATAACAAAAGACTAGTATCCTTTAGAAGTTCAAGCACCTGATTCCTTTTAAGTTATTCATGGCATCACTGATACAGCGGATATTGTTATATTAATTGTCACTACTTACTCTAGCTATCATAAGCAAATCTTCACATGTTTTTGCTCTTTCTACATCTTGTCGCAAATCATGATAAAAGATTGCCCCATCTCTGAAAGTAAATGATAAATCTTATATTTCTTACATCAAAAAGTTAGAAGATACAAATCTCTAATTTTCAA